CATCGCCGACGGATGCGACCGCAAGCTCACGGTGCTCCGTTGAGGTCACAACAGCGCCCCTGTCTCCTTTGTCCCCGGAGGCATTCGCGTCGCCACCCATCTCTATGGGCTCCTCCAACTCGAGCTCCGCCTCCACGTCGCTCCGGATCTCGCCCTTCGAACCCGCCGGCTAATCTCATTCTCCTTCTCGAACCTCCTCTAGGCTTTCTCAGCTTTCTTCTTCTTCTTGGCAAGCATTGCCTCTCTCTGGGCAGCTTGCCGAGCTATGCCCTCCGCCCCTCTAGAAAGATGTGGCCGGGATTTATAACCCGTGAGTCCCTATGAAATGGGCAACTCAAAATCAGTCAAAACAAGAAGAGCAAGAAGGAAAAGGTCACGGGAAAAGAAGAGGGAAGCGTACCAGAATGGACAGCTTCACGGCGTGGAGAGGTCTAGGCTTCCCTTCGAGGGAGTCTTGATCCCTCAACTGCAGCACCTGATCGAGTCGACTCCAGACTTCATCCTTTGGCAACTCCTTCGACGACGTGCAGTCGGGATCCATCGGGCCAAGGTACTCCCACATCGGTCGTCTTCTCTCTGCCAACAGGGCGACCCGACGGCGGAAGAAGGTATGGAAGACCCGCAACCCATCGAGGCCACGCTACACAAGCCTCTGAAACTCTGTCTCGATGACTTCCAAATTGTTCTACCGACTGGCAAGACCGCATGACCAGCTCTCCCTTCTCTCCGGCCTTCTTCCGGTGAACGACGGGAATGGCGCCTCCATTGGGTACCTGATATAGAACCACTCACCGTGCCACCCCTGGTTGGAATCACAGGGGGAGTATGTAGGGTAGGGGGCCGACGACTTTGGCTTCTTCTGCAAGGCGAATCCCCCAACCGGCGCGATTCTGGGCGGCTTCCCCTCAGATAGGGCTCGCCCACTGAAGATCCACCGAAAGAGGTCCACATGTGGCTCCATCCCAAGGAAGGCCTCATAGACGGTGATGAAGCCAGCGATATGCAGCACCCTAGTCGGGTTGAGGTGCTGCAACTCCAGACCCCACTCATTGAGGAGCCCACACAGGAACCAGTACGCGGGATATCCAAGCCCGTGCTCATGGAAGACAAGGAAGGATACGACCTCATCGGCCCGAGGGTGCGGAACTACCTCCCGTGGCGTAGGAGCTCTCCCATGCACCACCTCCTTCGACGAAAGCAGCCCCTTCTCGGCGAAGGCGGCTAGCACCTCTTCATCCACTTTAGAAGGCCTCTAGTTCGACATCGCGCCTCAGATTTGTGAATGAATCTATGAGTTTTTCTCTCCCTCGCTTTACCCTCCTCTCTCCTAGAAACCACCGCGACGCACGAATTAGCTTGGTGAAAAGGAGGAAGGAGAAGAGGCGGCAGTTGGAGAAAGGCGAAAGAATGGGACGAAAACCCTCTCTCTTCCCCCTATTTAAGGTGGAGAAGCGTGCGGTGGGACGTGTCCTGGCTGCTGGGACGCGCCCTGCCCAACGAAACATCACCTGGTTAATAGGAAATGGCTTGGGCCGAGCCCACCACTACCGCAACCCGGGCACAGGAAACAAGGCACAACTGCACGCAAACAACCCTCCGCCTTCCTAGGTAGGGTTTGGAAGGGCCCACCAACAGGATCTCCATCGAGGAGAAGCCAACGGGTCACCCGAGTTGATCGGATAGCTTGGGTGGCTGTCGAGAGATAGGTAAGGAGCAGTGGGATGCCCCATGTGGGATATGTCGACTCCATCATGAACGACGGGCCCGAATTCCATTCGGACATATCTGACAAAAGCTCTCCGAACCCGTCACTCGAGCAATCGAGGTAACTTTACCAAACCCCCTTTGTATTTTTCTAGTACATAATCATTCATTCATCCATTCTCATGCACACATTCATCCATTCTCATACATTCATCCCATACATCCAAGCATTCCATATGCAACTGTTGCATCACAACGCTTCGCGTTACGTCACGAAGCGGTAGTTGCCTCATTCGATATGAGCGACGACCGATCGGGGTTCAAAGGCCGGCCTGTGAAGGGCTCAAGGCCGCCTCGCGTCAAACAGAGCCAGGGGAGAAAACGCAGATGAGCCCCAGTGGCCCTCGCCCAATCCGCTTCGAATAGGACAGGGTCATCTCAGCCTTCTCGTTCGATCCTAACCTCGAGTCATGCCCACAGAATCTCCATCGAGGGGAGGCTAGCGGGCCACCTAAGTCGGTCTCCGGAACGGCTCGGGCATCTACCAGGAGGCGGGTTAAGGAGCAGTGGAGTGCCACATGAGGGCTATGCCGACCCCGTTATGAATGACGAACTCGCATTCCACTCGAACGTACCTATTATTGAGGTCACCGAGTGCGTCACTCGAGCCATCGAGGCAAGCGACGTTAGCTCAACCCCTCCGGTTGTGGAAACCGTGGACGGGGTAACGCACGAAACTGGACCAACCCCTCGGCCACGCCTGACGCTTGGGTTGGCGCCCCGACACCTCGGGAAGGCGCTGCGCCTCGCCCAACCCCTTGGCCGCGTCCGACGCTTGGGTTGGCGACAACGCCTCGCTCAACCCCTCGGCCGTGCCCAACGCTTGGGTTGGCGCCCCGACACCTTGGGTTGGCGCTCCGCCTCGCCCGACCCCTCGGCCGCGCCCGACGCTTGGGTCGGCGCCCCAACACCTCAGGAAGGCGCTCTGCCTCGCCCGACCCCTCGGCCACATCTGACACTTGGGTTGGTGACTCCGCCTCACCCGACCCCTTAGCCGCGCCCGACGCTTGAGTTCACGCTCTGTCGCCGTTCCACGATCTTACACCCACCGGGTGCGCTCGTGAAATGAGTGTAAATAACCCCTTCACGACTTCATAGAAGTCCCAAAAGGGCTCGAGGGCTCCTGTCAAGTTCATAAACCCAGGGTCCCCAATGTACCCGCTTCTCTGCAAAAAAACTCGGCCCAGCAGATGGCGTTGCGACAACGCGCACCTCCCGGGCCGGCCCAGATACATAATGATAGGCTAGGGCAATGATCCGGTCCCCGACCGGAAGGCCCTGGCCAAGGTGGGGACACGGTCCGACTCCAACCTCCTTTTCCGACCGGGGATACGCCGGACCTCCTCTCGTGATTCTTCCCCGACCGACACGGTCGGAGCCGACTGCGAACAACCGGCCGGGGACACCCGCTCGGTGAGGACCCAAGGATCAGGCGGAGCAGATAAGGTAAGACAATCAAGTCAACCGCAGTACCAAGGACCGTACCCTGCCATACCCTGCATACCTACAGGACGGTGCCACCAGGCCATGCCAGACGGGTACTATGCAACCTTCCAGGCGTGTCAGAGCACGAACAGTATTGTAGGCGTCGACGTTTGCCGTACCAGGCAAACATGGTAGAGCCTGCCACATACGTCTGACATAAAACAGTATTGTGGGTACCGACGACCGTCTCGTACCCGACAGCGTGGCCAACAAGACTAGGTAGCACACGTATCCATTCTTTCTTTCCTTGACTTGTAAGGCCATCCCCTTCAACTATAAAAGGGGATGCGCTATCTCCTCTCTAGAGGACGTTCTCTGTGGCTCTCCTCCAAAAAGAACAGCTAGACGATTCGAACACCTGTCACTCTAGCCGCTTGGTTTATAGTCCGACCGGGCCTCTAACACCTCATTTTTTATTCCTATTTGTTGGTAACCCCACAGCAAATTTTGAGCACTTGGGCTCAGGAATAAAGTCACCGACCGACTGAAACTGGACGTAGGACACGTTGCCTGAACCAGTATAAATCATGTGTCATTGAGTGCTATGCCACATCCGATCACAACGTATGACAAAACTATAAATATTTACTTGTTGATCAATTTTCGCACTGACAGGATGAGAAAGGGGACCTAGTAAAGTTGTTTTTTAAGGAAGTTGCTAAATTTCAGGTGTGTAAATTTTAGCTTTCTTTCATGCGACGGTTGTTGCATGTATTTTATGTTAAAATTGTAGCTTTTGCTCGGTGTAATTTTTGTAGGCATAATCTGCGATTTTTTGATCTGATAATAAAAAAACTCGATAGATAAAACCACAAACCTAACAAAATCTAATATATGTTGACACAAAGATAATTAATAATTCATAATTTTTTTCTATAGTTAGGCAAGGACAAAAAAATTAATATATTGTAACGCAAAGATAATTAACAAATTATAAACAAATCATAATATGTGACTCAAATTTTCATGACGTTTAGGAAAAGTGGTTTTTTAAAGCTTATTCTCCTATACGATGGTTTTAGAGAAAGAGGATCTTTTTTCTCAATTTGGTGGACATGCTCTAATTAGCCAGGCTGATGTTTGCATGGAAAAGTTGTATGCATCTCGCGTGCGTATATAACCCGTAGCGTCCCTTCGTCGTTACTCCCAAGTCTCAGTTGAAGGAGCTAGGAGGCAGGCAAGCAGCTACACTTACTAGCTCCCTTGATACTTTTAGCATGTTCGTTTGTTGGTTTCAGTCAGAGCTTATCAGTTATGATACGGTGTTTTTCTCTTACAACAAACTTGCACAAATCGAGTTTATCAGCACATAAACCAGCCAACGAACAGATAGAAAGCAGCATCGCTCCGTCAGAGCAATCGGTAGTGGAGCAAATATGCTAGATTATCAGATCGTGGACAGAACTTGTACGTTCTCCGTCCATCGGGTCCTGCGAGGAGCTGTCAGTTTAATACGTAGTATTTTGCAGCACTTGCTAACAGAATTTGAAGCACACGCAGACTGAATAACAGATAGGTACGCAAAGCAGATGGAAATGCATGAAACCATGCGACGCTAGCTTTTGAAGGAACTACGAAAGTTCTAGCCTAGCTTCAACGTTCTAATAGCGCCAATGGGTCGGTCATTGGCGGTCATCGCCTCATCGGTGTCCCTATCCTCCTCACCGTAACGGCACGGCTAGCTCCACCAGCCACCGTCAACGGCACGGACGGGAGCATCCACAATTCGTCCGCCCGAGACGCACGCAAGCATGGCGCCACAGCCCAGCAAACACGGCCGTTGCACTCGCCAGCTGGTCTTCCTCCTCCTCACCCTCCTCCTGTCGTCGTCAACCGCGGCCCTCGCCGCCGTTGTCCCCACCTCCTACTCCTCCCACTGCTCCTCCCCGTCCCCTGCAGCCCCCGACCGCCACCTCGACGTCTCCAACGACGCTGAGCTCCTCAGCTCCTTCCATCTCCAGCCCTCCACTGGCTTCTTCTCAGGTCGTGGCGCGAACAGCCTCTTCTCCCCAAACACAAACAGTGAAATCCGGCAGCAGCAGCAGGTTTCCGCGTCGATCTGGAGGATGGACCCGCAGCGCATCGTCACATTGGCCTCCACCACGACTCTCTTCTGCGTCTTCACCACCGTCCTTTGGAGGCTCCGAGCCAGTAGGAGGAACCACGAGGAACCTCCTGCCATGTCAATGGCCATGCACGTCGTTATTATTTCCCTGGGGTGCGTCGCGTTGGAGTTCATCCTGTCGCACTGGGTATTTTTCCTTATCACGTTCGTTCACATGTTTAGCTAGTGGCCTGAGGCATGCACACGGTCATATCAAGGCGACGAGGCTGATCCTTCAGTTGGTCGTCGTCTGATATGATACGCGCTGTGTGGAGACTATTTGTAATCTACTAGTCGTATATACTTACAGACTCAAACCAGGAAATCTGCAATGTTTATTTTCAGTTTTTCACGCTATCTGTGTGCTTTGTATTTGTCAACCAGACAGGCTTTTCTGACCAGATATCACGTCATGTCCTCACTTTTTTTATCGCTGCGATCGGCAGCTCGCCACAACACCTCGATCGATACTGCTCGCAAACAGGAACAATCTATTCTCTCCAGCAACGGTATATGCTCAAGCTGAATCACCCTATGCAGTTATGCTGGTAGCCTGGTACCCAATGCAAATAAAAAGAAATAAGGGCATGCTTGATTTTCACCGAAATGTACCATGCACTAGCCAAACTTTGGTCATCAAAATTGGTGACCATGGTTTTTTGCCACCAAAATGAACTAGCATGGACAAATGAGAGGATTGCCAAGCCAAATTTTAGCACCCAAACGAGGCCAATTCTGGTCAAAGGAGCCAAAATTTGGCTTGGCATCCTTTGGAACATTTAAGCAACCAAACAAGTACCTCATATATGTGCCGGTAACCGGTAAATGAACCCATACGGATAAATCATAGTGACATCGAGTGTCTATGTTAGTTATAACGTCCCCGATATGCGATAAGTGTTTTTCTAGTGTCTTAATTGGATACATGCTATATATTATAATCGAAAGTTTGCCATCCAAGTGCCATATTTGGGGCATGGTTTTCAATAGGGGTGGGCAAGACTTCAGCAAAATAGATTAACCAAATCCAAACAAAAACCGAGTTTAACCGAAAAAGTTGATTACCGAAATTTTCGTGATCTATTCTGTGAAAACTTTTTTGCGCCATTCAGTCGGTGATTTATTCGATTTTGAGCTGGTATTAACCAAATTTCTTTGTGACCATTATATTAAACACTAAAACAGTGTCCATTGCATATTTAAATGTATTTCTATGATACTTTCTTTGTTAGAAACATTCTTTGTTGATTTTTCTTTTGTTTTATTGTATGATGCATTTTTTGTTTGGTGGTTTCCAATACAATTATATGTTGTTGCATTGTCTCCTGTAGAAGTATAATATGTATTGCGGTTAACCAAATCGAACCGATTTAATAAAAAACGATGTTGGTCTGCTATTAGTTTTTTTGCAACAAATTCAGTTAACATTTTGCCAAAATCGAAATTATTGATAACCGATTTCACCGAATGGCGCAAGCCTAGTTCGCAGTAGCACGGATTTTGCTTACAGATCTTCAATGCTTCGCTGTTGTCAAATCAATTTATACAGCAAATAAACATCCAAAGATGATCACAAAACTTTGAAACATATGCCCACAAATGAGCTGAAGCGTTAGTATATATATTTTAAAACACGCCTAGACGAGCGCCTAAACGCGTTCAGTCGAACACTAGTGCCCAGTGGCTCCCCCTCCGGCCTCCGCTCACGCACTGACCAACCCCTACAGGCTACATCCATTTTTCAACAATGAACCTTTTTGACCCATTTGACCATTTCAGAACATTGAAACCCGAGACCGCATCTCCCGATCCACGTCGTCATGCTCATGCATATGATTCCTCTTCTGCAAGTGTGTCTCCCCGTCTTCAAAACTAACCATCGATCACTTGCCCAAATGGAGGCACGCAGGGACACAGCGTCTTACAGGAAGGAACAAATGCCCGCTATGTTGTTCTTTCGTTTTTCTCGTGATATGATGCAATGTAATCGTCGTTCGTCGATGCAAGAAACCAAAAGCGACGTACGTGCCTGATTTAAACAACCCCGAAAGTTCTGTGGACCTTCTCGTCATCACAAGGGACCAATGCCGCTACCATGCCACAAAATGATATATAGCATGCGTTTCTAAGCAAGTGGTTCATTAAAACTCTTCAATAATATAATTTAGGTGTCCGAATTTTAAGATGATTTTATGTATGCAATAATCTTATACAATTAACTAGTATAACTAAAAGACAATTGTTTGAACGACAAAAAAAACAGACACCTGAAATACATAATATGATAGTTTAGTGACAATTTGCTTACTAGAGGACCGTGCTGAAATCCGAAACCTCCATCACCAGGATTTGACAAGAGTGCAACACGAACAAAAGAAAACAAAAGGTTTATTTATGCAGTGAACCAGAGACGATGGGCGCCAATGCAAATTTGGCACAGTAATTCACGTTAGAGATAGGCTTCGTTCGGCGACAAAATATGTTTAGTTTTGTTAAACGCATTTTTCATCAGGAAAAAAAAAACTAGGGTCTCGGAACTCCGAAGCAATCCGCAGCATGTTCGCTTGCTCGTGGATTATAAACTGGAATAGTATTTTTCTCTCGCACCAAACCAGCCAATAGTAAATAATCCACGATCATTTACGACGAAACGAACGTACTGCCGGTCAACAATGGATAGATCGTCACTTCGTCAACGTTAGACGGACGGTGACGTTCAATCGACAAACATTCCCTTATATTGCCGTGTTTGTGCCTCACCTTCCTCCTCCTACTTAAACACCAGCCACACCGACGAGACCATACCACACTTCATCACCAAGCTAATTAAAGTGCTAAACATGGCACCACCGCCCAGCAATCCCCGCCATTGCACTCGCCAAGTCCGCATTGTGGTTGTGGTCCTGCTCCTCCTGTCGTCCATCGCCACCACCCTCGCAGCCGCTGTCCCGTCCTCCTACTCCTCCCACTGCTCGTCCCCATCTCCTGCTCCCGACCTTCCCATCGACGTCGGCGAGGACATTGATGAACTCGTCAGCTCCTTCCATCTCTCCACTGGCTTCTTCTCAGGCAGCGGTGCAGACAGCCTCTTCTACCCCGACAACGGTGTCGGCTTCCACCACCCCTCCTTCAACTTCGACCTCCACGACCGCTTCTTCACATTCATCTCCGACGGCGTCTCCCGCACGACCGACCCCGCCTTGATCCATCTCACCGCCACTCTCACCCTCTTCGGCTACCGTGTGGAGACCTATGAGTACAACGGTGACACCATGCGCGACCATCGCGCCCATTTCATTTCCTTCCACCTAGACGGCTACTACTACTCCACCTCTGCATGGTCGGCGCGGGCGCCGAGCACGCCGCCGCCGTGGCCGGCGGCTCCATAAAACACTACGCGGACGTCGCCCTCTGCCTCCGCGTTCCCAGCCCTCCCAGCCTCACCGACACCTTCGTCACCGGCCGACTTGAGGTTGAGGGAGCCGACTTCGAGGCCGTCTCCCTCGTCACGTACGCCGAGGGCGGCGACGTCTACAAGTACAGCGGGCGTGCCTCGTGCACCCCCCCCCCAACGCCCATGGAGCCGGAGGCCACCGCGGGCGCGCTCTCATGCCGCCGCAGGCTGGCACAGCGGCTTCTCTTGTTCGGCCCTCAGAGCCCGGCTCATCACTAACTACAGACTGGAGTACGGGAGCAGCAGGCACGCGTCAAACACCTCCTCCTCCGGCTCCTCCTCACTGCCGTGGTTGCGTGAGCCACGGATGAACGTGAACCAGGTGCGCTGCGCCGCTAACGGCGCGGTGCGCGTCTACGCGGTGTTCTCCAACGACACCAGCCTGTGGACGACGCCCATGGACCGCTTCTTTGTGGAAGAACAGGCCGTCGTCGCCGACGGGTTCTGGGACTCTGCGACGAGTCGGCTCTGCCTTAGCGCGTGCCGGGTAGTGCGCTCGGCTTCAGGGCCATCCGGGGCTACGGAAAACCTGGAGGTGCGCCAGTGCGGGATCGGAATGAGCTTCTGGTTCCCGGCCGTGTGGACCGGAGCGTCGCCGCCGGCTTGCTCTGGAACACGAGCCAGACAGCGAGCGCCAACAGCCACGCTGCCGCTGGTGTCGTAGTCTCCAGTCCAATAACAGCGTCGAGCTTTACCAAGGTCATCCGTGGCAACCTCTCTGACGTGGCGTACGAGTACAACCATACAATGCTTGAGACGGCGAAGCAGCATTATCTCAAGGCCACGCTGAGCAACGACAAGAAGAGCAAGGATTCGTTTCCGAGCAACCACACTTACTCGTACCGTGATTTCGAGTTCAGATTCTTCCTGGACGACCAAAGTGGCGGCGGCGACGGCGGCGGGCGCGCCTACCGTGTCTCTATCGGGCCGGCGATGGTCGACGGCGACAAGCTGGCAGCTGAATACTCCTTCTCCCAGCACGCCGCACCGGAGATGGAGCAGAGCCGGCTGGTGAATGTCAGCTACTTTATACTCTCTTCAGTTGCGCCTAGCAATACTAATAACTGGCTCAATTTGTCGGCCCCGGTGCATTTCCAGCTTCAGAAAACTCAAGCAGAGGGTGTTTATGATACTAAGACAGGCTTCCTGTCCATGGTCATCTGCCAACAACGAAATGGCTCAACGGACTGTCAGATACTGATGACCGTCCAATTCACTTCGTTCGACGAGCCACAGGGATTTGGGCACGGCAAGGGGAGGATCAGTAGCCTCAGAGACAGCACCGACGATCTCTACTTCGAGCCGAGGGACATCACCTTGCTTGGCGTGTACATCCAGGCCGGTAGGAGAGGGCAGGAGATGCGACTGTCGCGGCCCAGGCCACTAGGGGACTATATGTTAAGTTGATCCCCATCAATAGGCCCAACAGTCTATTGGGCCTTTGCCTCTGCTCCTTGATCGGGGAAGCCCAACCCTAACTGATTGGTGGGCCCCTGTCGCACAGCACATACAAATAGAGAATGTAGGGATCGGGGCTTGAACTACGAGGTTCACCGTGAGCCGCCACTCCCACCTACAGTAACCCTAAACCGATCTAAAGACCGTGCTGCCAGCGACGGGATGTGCCCCACCACCACCGTCTCGCCTGCAGATTCTCCGCCGGCGCCACTGGACTTCTCTCCACCGCGCTGGATGACTCCTACTACACCGCGACACCGGCGTCTACGTTGTTG